TGGTTTTTTTTTTTTTTTTTTTTTTTTTTTTTTACAAAGCATTAAATTTCAAGATTTTAACTTTTAACCATTTTGAACTTTACACTCTATTGTAATGAATGGTTAATAATAAGGCTATGGCCACTCTGCCGAGGCTAAAGGCTCAATTTCCACAACATTGTCAATAACTTCTTGACTAATATTGTCAACTCGACTTAATGACTTGTACTAAGAAATATTTGTCCAAAGATGATGATAACACTCCTTTTTATTATTGTATTCGAGATCAAGAATATATTTTGTAACATGATCACAATTCAAAAATGAGATTAAAGATATCTCTTGTTACTAATTTAGAAGTAGATGCAAAATTCAATCAATCCTACGAAAGAGCTTCAAATTATTTATTTTTTCTTGTTCTTGACCCTTTACTTTTTACACTACAAAAGCACTCTTTCCTCCTCAATTTCCCTTCATTTCTTTAACTAAAGTTCTTGTCCCCAACTAAAAGTCCTACGAGTTACCTACCACTAATGGGAAAAAGGGGAAATTCAATAACCCCATTTTCATTTTTTAATCACCAATACGATGCAGAGGAGGGAGTCGTTGGCGTGGGGTTGGAAGAGGAGAATGAAAAAGAAAAGGACACCAGAAGCAGCCAAATTCTCAGACACCCTTTCCCTTTCATTCTCGTCTCTCTCTGATTCCTATCTGTACCCACGATTCTCTTTCACGCAATCCGCCACTTCCAATAAAATATAAAACGCCATATTTCAATAATTACGTTCATGAAATTATTATATTTTTCGTGAGCCCGATCTTGAAAATCGTGTCAAATCCCTCCAACACCTTTACTTTTGACAGAGAACACTGTGAGAAAGAAAAAGAAAAAGAAAAAGAAAAAGAGGGAAAAAGGTGTTTTCAACTTTCTTTTATAATCTTCTGAATCTCCTTTTTGGATCAAATCCACACTTGCACTATTTCCCAAGGAAAAATAATCATTCATCTCCTTTCTTTTTCACCTCACATTAGCCTTACTTTAACCAAAGCTAAAGGGACTTTTAAATGAAAGTATTTGATGGAAGTTTAATGAGGAAAGAATCAAGCTTTTCCATGCATTCATTGAGCTTTCTCATCATTACATTATCATTATACTTTCATGGCTGCTTTGCCGCTTTACTTTCCGAACCGGCGGAGCCATTAAAACCCGGTGATTATCCCGGCAGTGGTAATACAGTGCCTGCTTTTCCTGTCCAGAATGAGTCCCAGACATGCCGGCTTGACCTGTCAGCTGAGTTGTTCGGCGGCGTGAGTGCGGCTTGCGGAAGAAACCTCGACCGTAGCCGTTGCTGCCCAGTGCTGGCGGCGTGGCTTTTCGCAGCCCACGCCAGGTCGGCTCTGCAGCTTCCATCTGCTGCTCCTCCGGCGAGTTCCGACATGCCGATGATGCCGGACGATTCACAGAAGTGCGTCAACTCACTGCAAAATTCATTGCAGAGCCGAAATATTCACATCCCTCAGCCAAATGCATCGTGCGACGCCGTGTTGTGCTTCTGTGGAATCCGGCTCCACCAGATCACCTCTTTGAGCTGCCCCGCCGCGTTTAATATCACCGGGAATTACAGAAATGTTACTCCCACTGCTGCTATTAGGAATTTGGAACATAATTGCAAAAATTCTTCTTATGCTGGCTGTACTAAATGCCTTGGTGCTCTTCAGAAGGTCAGCGAAACTAGAAAATGTGTCATTTTGGTCCCAAGAAAAGCTTTTTTTTTTTTTTTTTTTTTTTTG